AAAGGACCATTTACTAGGAGGCAGAACTCTGTGGGGGCCACGTGAATGTTATAGAATAACAAGTTAATCCCCACCCACCCACACACACTCTCTCTCAAACAAAATTAGCTTTATTATACCTTTTCTGAGTATTAAGATCATCATAACCTCTATAATTTATACAAAACAGGAGCTATAAAGCAGAAAGTACTAACCCCCTGCAACCAATCCCACCACCAGGAAAGAGGGGCCATTCACATTTGGGGCAAATATCCCCAAACATTACATAAACACACCACTTCATGTGCCCCAAATGGGATCACATTGTGTGTGCTGTTTCGACTCCCCGTTCACGTATCAATTTGGTCTGTCCTGAACATGTTTCCACTCGGCTGTTAACCAGTGGTCCATTCATACAGGACCATTGAATGTGGGTACCACAGTTTTTAAAGGCAGGCCCTATGGGGACTGTCTCGGTAATGTTTTCGATATTACAAACAAGTATCCTGGCTGTGAATCTTGACACACGTGTCTAATGATGTCCTTGGGGGTCAAGACCTAAGAAATGGAATCACTGTGCCTAAGGGTTTGCTGGACCCCATCCACCCATCCAGAGAGATGCCTTGGCAGGAGCCCTGGATACCAGTGTCATCCGGACCCCACGGGCCAAGGGTCCAAGGCTTCACGTCCCAGACACCATTCCCCAAACACAGGGGCATGTCCAAACTGTCACCTCCCTGGCAAGAAAGGCCAGGAACCTGGACGTGGGCTCTGAGGTCTGGTTGGCCTGGGTTCAAATCCTACCTCTGCTCAGAGCCTCCATTTCTGCATCCCAGGAGGTAGTAACAGCAGGTGTATTTGTGTCCTGGAGCTGCTTTAGGAAAGAACTACTGACTGGGTGGTTCACGCAACAGAAATGTGTCGCCTCACAGATCTGGGGGCCAGGGCTGGTTCCTTCTGAGGCCTGTGAGAATCTGTCCCAGGCTTCTGTCCTGGTTTCTAGGGTTTGCTGCTGGCATTCTAGGCTGTTCCTCGGCTTGTGACAGCAAAACTCCAATTTCCACACGGCGATTTCTCTGTGTCTCTATCTTTCTGTCCAAATTTCCCCTTTTCATGAGGACATAGTCCTATTGGACTGGGGCCCGCCCTAATGACATCATCTTCACTTGATGACATCTGCACAGACCCTATTTCCAAATAAGGTCACATTCACAGGTCACGGGGGTTAGGACTTTGGCAGTCAGGCCCATAACCCAGCCTTGAAATAAGTGCTGTCATTCTTTCCCCCTTCACAAAAGCAGGAAGTAAGTCCCAGGCAAAGGAAGTGCCTGCCCTGACTCCTAACATCGAAGGCCAGTTTGAAGCTGGCAGATTCCAGGGTTTTTACATCAACCTGGTGAGGTTGTCGCGTGGTCCCTCTGCTCAAATGTCACCTTGTCCAGAGGTCCCCTGGACACTTGCCTAAACAGCCCCCTCCTCGCCCTCTCGCCTTAGCCTGCTTTTTCTCCCACCCCTGCTTTTTTTGTTTGTTAATTTTGTTTGTTAATCCTCACCTGAGGATACTTTTTTCCATTGATTTTTTTAGACACAGTAGAAGGGTGGGGGAGAGACAGAGAGAAAGAAACGTTGATGTGAGAGACACTCATCGATTGGTTGCCTCCCTCACATGCCCCAGGGATTGAGCCTGCCCTTGACAGGAATCAAACCAGGGACCCTTCAGTCCGAGGGCCAGTGGTTCTCAACCTTCCTAATGCCTCGACCCTTTAATACAGTTCCTCATGTTGTGGTGACCTCCAACCATAAAATTATTTTCGTTGCTTCTTCATCACTGTAATTTTGCTACCATTATGAATCGTAATATAAATATCTGATATGCAGGATGTATTTAGGCGATCCCTGTGAAAGGGTCGTTCGACCCCCAAAGGGGTCGCGACCCACAGGTTGAGAACCGCTGCAGCACTGAGCAAACCATTTAGGGCTCTCAAGCCCTTTTTACTACTTGATATCATATTTCATTTATTTGAACCTGTGCCTGTCTTGTTCTAAGAACCTTACCAATATTAACTCATTTAATATAACATATTTTGCAGATAGTATACTAATGGCTTACACGGTTTGACTCTATCCCCTCTTCCCTTCCCCCCTCATAGGCTATACTGGAAGAATCTCTGTCTTTTGCTTGAATTCTAAAGTAAACTAATGTGGGTTCAAACCCCAGCTTCATCACTCCCTAGCTCAGTGACCTTGGGTGTGTGACTTCACCACTCCATGCATCAATTTCTTCATCCGTGAAATGAGAATCCAAACTGTGTGACAAGAAATAAATAAAGAGGCCCAACCCAGCAACAGACACAGGGACTGCAGGCGCACAGATAAGGGATATCTGATCTTCCTGTAGGAGGCGACCCTGGAGCGTGGATGGAAGACATTTAGATGTTAATAAACCAGGTCCCTCAACCCCCTTGCAAATCACTTTGCATAACGGCCTAGCAGACAGCAAATAACTTGCTGTTCTTTTTGTTAAAAAATATTTTTTTTATTGATTTCAGAGAGGAAGGGCAAGGGAGAGAGAGTTAGAAACATCAATGATGAGAGAGAATCATTGATGCCTCCTGCACCCCGCAACCTGGGCAGGTGCCCTGACCAGGAATTGAACCGTGACCTCCTGGTTCATAGGTCAACGCTCAACCACTGAGCTGCACCGGCCAGGCAACTTGCTGTTCTTAATAGATGCAAAACTGAGCTGAGACGATAAGAATGAAGTCAAAGATGATTAGATAAAGGAGGATGAAAAAAATTAAGATGGTACCAGATGGAAAGGGCTCCACTGGGTGCAAGGAAACTTCTAGCTGGTTCCCCTCCTGCAAACCCGGTTCTGTGAGGCCTAGAGACTGAGGCCAGGGGGCTTTGACTTCTTTGCCCTCCCACCCCAGCCCTTTTCACTAAAGGGTTTAGAATGACCAAAATTATAAAGAAATATAGGGT